TAACAATGATTACTATACTGTGTATTATTATCTTCAGAGTAGTTGCTCAGATTATGAGACATAGGCAAGATTGAGCAAGCAATATAAATACTAACTGGCAAACAGATGCGCTAACCTTGATTTGAACGGTATGAAATACAGATATGTATCAAAATATCACACTGAGCTGGGGAGATAAGTGGTCTAAGTGCCTGCCTGGCAAGCACAAGGACCCAAGTTCAATCCCTGGTACCGCACCCCTTGCTGACCCCAACCAGATGTGGTGGCACATGCCTGTAATCCCAGCTCAGGAGTGGCCAAGACAAGAGGATCCCTATGAGTCAAGAACTGTGTAGCAAGACCCTGTATCAACAACAACAAAAATAAAATATTTTTTTAAAACCCATCACATTGTGCCGAATGGATATGTACTATTTTATGTCAATTTAAAAATACAAATAAATACCTTTTTAAAACAACCAACAGAAATAAGAAAGATATATTGATCAGTAAATACCAATTATTGAAATGGGAAAAAAGAGGTAATCTACGCTGATTCCCTCATGGGGAAGTTAGCCATGAGCTGGAGACTTCAGTCTCAGAATTTAAACCTGGGTAGGGCATCCAGAGCTGCTGTCTCTTACCTCCCAGTACACCCAAGCCTAGCATCACCATCCCAAGCCTGTTCTCCCACTCTTTTTGCTGATTCTCCTGTCCAAGAGAATCAGTGATTTAAAACATGGTGAGCCTTGCAGCTTCCATATGAAAAACAGGATGCAATGAAAATTCATTCTTCTCTGGAAAACGAGGGGCTGCCTGGTTGTATTTCAAACACTGGAGGTAGCAATGCATAATTTAGCTATTCCATTTCAGAACACTGAAAGAATTTTGACATTAAATATAATGTCATACAAAGTATGGCCGTCAGCAGTGCTGTCTTATAACAACATGATGTGGAACAGGAGGCCTAGCTCAGTGCTAGGCGCCTTGCCTTTCCTGCGTGGAGTCCTGAGGTAGATCATCAGCAGGACAGAACATACATTCAGAACTTATCCATGATCTCCCTGAATTAAGATTTTATTTAGAATAAATAACATTCAGTAATATTCTTTTGATATAGATGTACTACAGTTTTAAAAATTCTATCCATTTTAGTAAGTAATTAGTACCATCTTCTTGTGGTTTTAATTTGTATTTCTCTAATAACTAATATGGAATGTTTTTATATACTTATTGGTTATCCATAATTCTTCTTTGGTAAAACTCAGATAAGTTATTTATTTTTTTAAATTGGGTTATTTGTTTTCTTAGTACGTTTTAAGAGATTTTTTATAAGTTGTGGCTATAAATCCTTTATGAGATGTATGGTGTACAAGTTTGTAGTTTATATTCACCTTTTTATGAGTGTCTTTCACAGGGATATAATTTAATATTTTATTTTATCTGCAAGTGTTTGATTCATTCACTGCAACTGTGAAGGCTACGATTAGGTAATTCATTCAATTACAGCAGAGCACATGCTTTGAGCCAAGTAAAAAGAAAATATCTCAAATCCTAACATGTATTATACCCTGGAGATGACCACGTTGTGTATTTTCTTATCCATAAATCTCTTAAATTTATGGTTCTGTAGAAACTCACTTTGTCCGAGGTTTAGGATTAATGTTTCATTCTCACTGAAATGTTAAAGTTATACAATCCTCTACATGTATTCTCATGTCAGCCTTAAAATGTATTAGGTAACAGACAGCACTGTGGCAACAGTTTGGCTGAAAAAGTGTGAATCAGTTTTCTAGTCACTAGTGATAAGTTTAACACTTGAAATGTGGTGAGTGTGGTGGCTCTAATGCTATTTAACTTTAATTAAATTTTGAACCTGATACATGATTTCATTATTGGAAACTTTTAAAATATGTACAGGCTAATTATGCTTTGTTTACTACCTATTCAACCCATTGTAAGTTATATGAACTCAATGTTTTCGTTGACTAAGTCATTTGATACCATATGCCCTTGCATGATATAACAAGGAGGCCGCACTTCTGTAATATCAGTTATTCCTTGAAAATCCCACACTAATCATGAGCAAAGCATTCGACAAAGACAAGTTGGGGTATTTTCCAAAGATCATTGCTATTCTAAATTTTAAATCTCTATTCATAAGCTGAGCTGCAAAAGGCTCAAGACAACAACTTCTGACATTGCCAGTTCTGGTAATTACCCACTACTATTATGGACTATTGGACTATACTGGGTTATGCTGCTGGATACATGCACCTACAATATTTGAAATGGCAATGGAACACCTACCTCTGACAAAAAAGAACAAAAAGGGGGATATAAATGAAGAACCATTATATATATATATATATATTTATATATATAATCTGTATATGCAAAAGAGGATAGCTACACAGCTACTTTCTCTAGGTTCTCTGAGAAGAAAGATTTGTACTAATAGCGTTTAGACAAGAGATCATATTTGCATCTTGTACTCTGAATACTACAAAGACAACAATATTCAATGTTAATTATTATAACTATCCTATGAACCTGTTTTGAAATTCTCATTACTATTTCTTTCTCACTAAAATTAATTTAAAAATCATAAAAAATAAAATAAAGACAAGTTGAGGAATATATTACAAACTGATCTGCCTACAGTCATGAAAAGTTGTATGGGCATGACAAGAAATATGGAGAAATAGCTGAAATGAAAGAATATGTTGGACAACATAAAATAGTAGGCAGGGGTTGATTTTGAAATCACAAGTTGGCATTAGTGAGAAGAGGTGAACTCTGAATAAAGCCTGGAATTTAGTTAATATTATTGTATTAATATTCTTAGTTTTGATAACTGTGTCATGGTTATGTTCACAGTGGAGGGAGAGCAGAGGAAAGAATATAGGAGTTATGTACATCTTTGCAACTTTTCTCACAATATCAGATCTTTATAAAATAGAGAAAGTATTTTTAATGACTTGCAGTCAATTACTTGGTCAAGAGAAATATAGAGAAGATTCAAGGAACTTAAAAACTAACAAAAATGACAAATACATTAATGCATTCTTATTTTTTACAGTACAAATTAGAATTAAAACAAAAATTACGAGTGATATGGAATTTCACTTGACAAAGTAATATGAATTTCATAGTATTTGTTGTAATATATGGTGTTGTCTTCTAACCAGTTATTTATATACCAGATATATGCATGTAAAATTGGAAAAAGAAAAAAGTGTAAGAAATTAAGAGAAAAAATACAAACCATTTAAAAATGAGATAAAACAAATTGCATATGTCTGCTCCTTTCTATAGACCAACAGTAATGCACAGTACAGTTATCCAAACCATTCTGTTTACATATTTAGAGAAAACACTTTCTACCACTCCCTCTCCCATCCTCAACTGAGTAACTCTTTCCTTTGGATAAGTTCACTCTTTTTCCCCTGTATCTATTGTTCCCTTCAAATTCCATTTTTCTCTTTCAGATTCTCACAGTAAGGAGACAATATAATGTTTGAGACAATATGGTGTTTGCACATGAAGGTCTGATTTATTTCACTTAAGAGTATGGCTTTTTGTTGCATTCATTTATCAACAAATGACTCAAATTTATCCTGCTTTGTAGCTGAATAATACTCCATCGTGTAAAAATACCACATCTTCTTTATCTATCCTTCTGTTGATAGGCATCTGAGTTGTTTCCAGGATTTAGCTATGACACATTGAGCTGCTAGAAACATGAGTGCTCAA